CGGGGAGTGATTTCTCGCTTTCTGTCTCTATGTCTCTCTCTGTCTGTCTGGCGAGCGCACGCGCCCTATAGTGAAAATCTCTCCAAAAGAAAAAATTCTTTTAGGGGCCAGCAGATAGTATGGTGGTTAAGGGCGCTAACCACATGGTCAGCCGTAGTTCGAGTCCCAGACCTGGTGGCTTGCTTTCTCTCTCTCTCTCTCCTTCTCTGGCAAAATATAAATAAATAAATAAAGTTAAATAAAGTAATTCTTTAAAAAAAATTTTTTTTAAATAAAAGGAAGAAAGAAAGAGAGCAAGAGAGCCAAACACCCTCTTCAGGCTCAGTCACCTGAAATCCCCCTTTCCAGTCCTCCAGCCCGCCCGAATCCTGGGCATGCATGCACATGCCTCGCATATGTTCAGGCCAATAGGGTCAGGGATTTGAACCACGATTGGCATGTAGCTTCCAGGTCTGCAGGTCTACCTCCACCACTGCACCACAGAGGCTGGGCTTCCATTTATCTATACAAGAAATAGACTTTGGTGCCCAAAGGTTTCAATTTGGCACTGCTTCAAACCTATCATCTAAATAGCTGCTAACCAGTCCTCTGGAGGTCCAGCTGATTTGTGCATAGGAAGAGCAGAGAGAGTGACAGCTGGTGGCTGTGGTCTGTCCTTATCTTTCCCCAAGATTTTAACCCAGACCCCATGTCCCAAGTCTGACTCTGCAAAGCACAGGTGCCACAGTATGTGTATCCCACCCTCCTTAGAGATCGCTCACTCAGAGACCACCTCTGGCTCATCTAGCCGGCCCTCCCCTACGGGGTCTCACACCCCCATCTGGAGGGCTTATCAAAGCAACAACACTGGCTTCTCATAGATGGCTATCCTGGGGCCCAGCTCACTGAACGACACATGGAAGGCTGACTCTCCATCCCTCCTATGGGCAACCAAACAATGAGAGAACCTGCCAGAACACTGCCAGTCTTTCCAGAGCCCAAGGTCCCGCACCTGGAATAGGTGTTATTTCATCCTGGCCCATCTAACTCTGTAGCTGTTCCTGCTCCTTTTGTGATTTCTCTTCTCCACCAGCCTCTTACAGAACTCTGCAGACAGGATTTGGTCCTACTTCTCTCCCTGAGTGGCCTCGTCCAGCCCCACGGGTCCTACGGCCTCATCTTGCACCTCCAGTACATGCCTTCTGCTGGGCTCGTGGGCACCTGTGATCTCTGTGCAGACGCCCGGAGCAACCAACTCCATGCGCTATCCTAACGGAGCGCCACCTCCCCAGTTCTCAGGCCTGCGTGTCTTCCTCTGGTCCCCTCTCCCACCCAGTAGCACACCAGGACTACAGTGTGGCCATCCTCCCTGGGGGTGATTTCTCACTTTCCCTCTCACTGTCTCTCTGTGGTAAGCACATGTGCTCCATGACAACAACCTTAAAAAGAAAAAAAAGTTGGTTTTGACTCATTAAAATAGTCTCTGGGGACCAGCAGTTAGCGTAATGGCTATGTCACTGGACTCCCATGTAGTCGACCGCAGTTCGAGTCCTGGACCCAGTGGCTTAAACTCACACCAGGTGCGTGTGCGTGCATGCCCAAGATACTGAGAGGAGAATGGAGAAGGGATTGCGGTGTGGCCATCTCCTCTGGGGGGGTGATTTCTCACTTTCTGTCTCTCTGTCTCTTTGTCTTTCTGGCGAGTGCACACGCTCTATAGCAAAAACCTATACAAAAAAAGAGAAAATAAGTTTCTGAATACATTAATGGGTAGTGACTGGCAGTTTGAAACATACCAGCTAGCACACTGCTTGTTATGTTTACTGAGTGAATTAATGGCTCCATACAGTTTTTTTTTTAGGAGAGATTTTTGCTATAGTGTGTGTGTACTTGCTGGAGAGACACAGACAGAGAGACAGGAAGAGAGAAATCACCTCCAAGAGGGGATGGCCATGCCACAATCCCTTCTCCAGTTTCTTTCAGAATTTTGGGGATGCACGCACATGCAGCTTGCATGAATCTTAAGCTTCCAGGTCCAGGACTTGAACTGTGGTTGGACAAGTGGGAGTCCAATGACATAAGCATTATGCCACCTACTGGTTCCCTGTACAAATTTTTTTTAAAAAAAATCATTATTCCCATTGTCTGAGTAAGTTATCTGAATCTTAGAATTTTGGGGGTTAGCAGATGGCGTAGTGATTACAATGCTGGACTCCCACCCAGTTAGCCGCAGTTTCAGTCCTGGACCTGGTGGCTTGAAACTCATGCTGGGTGCATATGCGTGAGTGCCCAAGATTCTGGGAGAAGAATGGAGATGGGATTGAGGTGTAGCCATGCCGCCTGCGGGTAGGTGATTTCTCACTTTCCCTCTCACTGTCTGTGTCTCTTTCTCTCTCTGGAGAGTGCATGTGCCCTAAGGCAAAAACCTCTAAAAGAAAGAAAGAATTTTGGCTTTGACTCAGTGCTGTGACTTTGTGGCTTGCAGGACTCCTTCCCCCCCAGATATTTTGAGATTCATCTGCTACCAGTGAACGATTGCCGTCAGAATCACTCTGATCACCATGTTACTCAATTCATTGGAATCAAAATATTCAGGTCTCAGTTTCTTATCCAAAACCTATGGTTAGGGACCAGCAAATGGCGTAATTGTTACATTGCTGGACTCTCACGTTGTTGACCGTGATTTCAGTCCTTGACCTGGCGGCTTGAAACTCATGCTGGGCACCTGTGAGTGTGTGCCCATGATCCCGAAAGGAGAACGGAGAAGGGATGGTGGCCTGGCCATCCCCCCTGGGGGACGATTTCTTGCTTTCTGTCTCTCTGGCAGGTGCGCACACCCCATAACAAAAATCTCTCTTAAAAAAACAAAAAAAAAGACAATAGTAGATAACAACTCCTATTTTTAGGGGTCTAACATACACTAAGACTCTTGCCCAAAGCAGAGTGTTAGTGGCCCGGACTAACTGGTCCTGCTGAGGCTCACCCACCGCCCACTGAGCAACGTTTCTTTTCTTACTTTGGGTTAAACCATTCCCAAAGGGGAAGCTCTTCGTCTTCCTTTCCTTGTTGGCTTTCTCTTCCTTTTTCTAAGTCTTCCTCATCCTCTTCTTGATAACTGTGGGTCCTGA